TCGCGTGCGCTCCTCCTCGGATTCGGATATTTTCCAGCGCAGTTTGATCAAAGTGGCTGCCACATTCTCGTGTTCTGAGGGGTCATATTAACGAAGGAACAAAATACAAGAACAGGGTCAAAACACGATAATGAATTTCGATCGGAAAAGAGCAAAATATTTTTGGTGATGTAATCAATCACCTTATGACAATACACGTCACCAGATATTCGGATGTGCCAGAAAACACCCCGTGCAGCACGTGTTCAACCGTTCTGTTCCGGTTGTGCTGCACGTGCTCGCAAAACAGTGAAAACGTGANGCGAGCAGCATCAAACAAGGTCAAATTATGCACGTGTAGAGACTTGAGAGGGAGACAAAGGACAAGTCCATTCACACACACACACAATATGGCGATGGCAACTGACCTGTCACTGCGATTTATTCAAGTTGTTCTAATTATGTGTATGTGTGTCACGATGTCACCAATGACCGACTTCAATGGCTAATTTGATGGCACATCGGAAACTCAGAACGGTCTAAAACTGATTGAGTACTATTCGTTAAAGTTGTTGTTCTCCGAGCAACTATTCCATCAGAGTAGTGTGTCCCTTGTGTCCCTTGTCTTGAACTTCGCTCCACTTCCACTCGGATTGGGAGTTTTTGTTTTAACCTTCCGTTACGCGCATACATACACACATAAGCACACCCAAACACGCACTTAACCGGTACATAAGAGCGCCAAAGTACACTAATTTTTAATGCGACGGAAATGTTTGTGATGACCGACAGAAGCACTGAACAGCTATTTCGTCCTGTTCGGGACTCATCAACAGTGCGTACGCTTTCTGTCCCTGTCGGGACTCGAACCGTGAACCTTTGGGTTGGGACTTCAAACCCTTACCCCTGAGCTACACGGTCGACGATCATCACCTTGCGCGAATGGCACAATCAATTTTTGAGTATAAAGTATCGACAATCAAGTATTAGCCTATTCGATTGTTCAGAGGCACAATCACAAACATGTCCATCGCACAAAAATGCATACAACTAGTGGGGGATTAACGATCTCCTAAGGAGTGAAACCCACACCCAAGACCATGAAGAGTGCCCGGTGCCTCTGAACAAGCTTGATACTGTACAACCTACTTTTCTTTTGCCTGCCTGAATTAGCATAGCATTTCTGATTTGGTGATTGGCTTTGAAGAGGACTGAGCGTGTAGTCAACTGTAAATGATTTTGCCACTATCTGACTCAGAGAACTGACTGGCGAACGCCATGCGATTAAATTTAAAGTGATAATTTTTATTCTCTCCGTTATGAGATGACTGATACAGTGGTAACACGCTCAACTTCGATGTCAAGAGTTCGGAGTTGGATTTGCACTACTGATGAGGTCTAATGAGAGAGCGAATCTCAAGTTTGTTGCTTACTAAGTGAATGGTTGACCGAATGAACCGGGAGAATCGGGTGAAGAAGCACCCTGAAGTACAATCATTCCAACTCAATACTCAGTGCGCTACGGTGTATTTCGAATAACGCATGAAGATGAACGCACCAAAAGTGATAATAATAATAATAATATAATACTGACCTTTTTGAACTACCGCGGGCAACTTTGCCAGACAATAAGTGCTCAGTCGGTCAAATTGTTGCACCAGTAGACGAAATTCATCTCGCACTTTAGACAGTTCGGTTTCCCGTTCGCGGTTTTCCCGTTGAATCTCGTCTACCAGTTTGATCACCAAATCCAAATGCTGCGACAGATGAGGTTGAAACTGAGTGTGAAGTCTCAAACTCACTCCAGTAATCCGTTGTTCCAGCCGGGTGGTTTGTGTCGGTGCGGTTGATTGTTCTGTTGCATTTGAAGAACGAATCTCAGCCAGATTGTGCAATTCACTGGGGATTGTTCTTAGAAATTCCTGGAAACAGTGAACAGAACTTTTCCGAGGGAGGAGAAAAGTATCCACATACCGCCGCGATTCGAGCACGATGTGCCAGAGATTTGGAATCGACTCCGGGATCAATGAAACCCGGTTCACAATTGATCTGATCCGACTGCATTTTCGATTAAAATCACGAAGCCGGTTTTTACAGCATGCTTAAATTAGTCGAAACACTGAAAGAAAAACCACTCTCGACTGATGAAAAATGGCGATATTGGCATACTGCGGATGTGAGTTCAATCTTGTGCGACTAAATGTGCTGGGAACGCAAACTGGAAATGCTAGTCAGTTGGGGGGGGGGAGGGATATTTTCACTCGTTCCGTCTACCGAGCTCCAATGATTCTGAATGTGATAAGCGGTCGGCTAGATCGCTCCGTGATTAGACAAAAGATACTCAGTGGCAATAACCGCCACAGTGGGTATAAGGTCCGGGGGAAAATTTCGTTTGTTCGTTTAAATCAATATGACGCATGTTGTTAGATGCGCCTAGTGATGTTTACCGAGACTGGTAGTCGGTGAACGAATATCAGCCATGATCGAGCTAAGATCTGGCATGATAGCACGAAAACCCTGATCTCGGGCGCTTGATAAAGTGAGTCACATTTTGAACAAACAGTGCAGTAAAACAATTGTTTTGAACGAATTCATCCTCAAACTAATTCTGTGAAACATTTGGGGATGAGTTACCTTTTCCAGATTGTTTACCAATGAATCCTTCGGGGTAGCGGTTTCATGGCAATGTTTTCTTTAGGAATTCTTTTTCTAGTGTGTCTGGGAAAAAGTTTCTGACTCGATGGAACAGAATTTTTACGAGTCCATGTTTGTAACACATGGGTGAGAAACCAGAGAACTGTAGATACAGAACACTGAATGTTACTTTTCTGTGAACAGAACGTTCTACTGTGTCGTCTAATTGCCTCGTGATTCTAATTTAAATCTAAAAATGTCAAGGAACCGTTGGTTTCTTCTTCATGGAATACGGAAAGATGTGGATGAACAGAGTTTAATTGTTTCTAAAGCGATTCAAAATCTCCACGCTCCGTAAGAATGAAAATAACGTTCACATAACGTCTGCACAAGTTGGACTGGGAGATACTACTGGCACGACTTTGTTCAGTTATTCCTAAAAGTACATCAGCTAGAGTTGGACCTAGCGGACGGCCCATGGCTACGCCATTAATCTGTGTGTATGTGACTCCTTCGAGCTCAAACGAATGTTTTCAGTATTTAAAAATGTTAATTCTCTTAAGTATTTAAGGTAAAAGTTACCTGAAGAAGTATAACCACATAAAGAATCAAGTGTTTCATGAAGGGGAGCATTGGTGAAAAAGGAACACATATATATTGTCACATCTTCTAAAGGTGATCACCTAAACAATGAACAAAGGCAACTCTGACCCGAACATTCTCAGCTAGTCAACTTCGACTTAGTGCCCCTACTTGGGATTTGGAAAACAGTTTGCATGGATGGAAATCCAGTTATGTCTCTCTCTCTCTCACACACACCGCATACCAGTTCACCTGATGTTCGGTGACACATAGGTAGAACTAACCGTCAATTGTCAGCACAAACGGCCGAACACGTTTCAAAGTGGTTGCTGAAGTCGATGACGCAAACTGGCAATGGCCGAAGTGATTGGGATAAGAAGGAAGACAAATGCAGGGAGATGTCAACATTTATTTTAATCTCCTCAGTCGCTGCAATTTGGGATAAGAAAGTTAACTTCGGATCTCTGCGGCCGAAATTGTTGGGTTCAGTCATTCCACCTTCCAAGGCCCCATTGATTTTGTCGTCCAGTCACCCTGACTGAGGTTGTAAGCTAGTTGAAACCAATCAAATGAAAAAAATCAAGTTGACCGTGACTCACGACTGGCTTTGTGTCTAACTGCGCGATTTGTTTTCGAATGTTACCTACGTAATCCTCAAAAACGGCTTTGGAATGAATTATAGAAAACATTTGTTTCGAGAAACCGTTTATTCGAAATGCTGTGAAAGTTAGGTCCGCCGTTTTTGAACCTCGAGACCATTCAAATCAAAGTTTGGCATTAGCTAGTGTGGATATGCCTGAGTAGTGTAAACAACTGCGCTAGTGCATCCACTCCCCCACACCCACCCTGCCCCCAGGAACTTGACTCAACTCAGCAGTTTCACCGTGGTAATGATCTCAATTACAATATTGCTTTTATCTACTCATTTCGGTTTGTTGATCAACAAAAAGGTCAGCTGAAAGACAGTAATCAAAGCTGTAATATGAAAGTTATTCGTTGTATAACCAATAACCCAGGGCGAACTCTGCACTGGGATAGTTGGCGGAATCCGAAAAGCTTCTGAATTGGTCTTCAAGTCACCGGCTCCCACAGAAGTATGGACACTTTACATCACCCCACTGCTTTGTGAACTAGATTTTTCAACTAAAGCATCAAATTAAGATCGTGAGCTACCGAGTATTACGTTTACACTTGGACCAGAAACTTCTAAGTTTGAATCAAACTTCAATTGCTGCACTCACTCTAGACATCACATCCTGTGCAAAATAAACTGTGGGTCATCACTTTCTAATTCCGATTTGCCATTGTAGCTCCAACATGGTTCAGTGACCTATACTACTGTTGGTTTTTGGAGTTTGAGCCGAAATCTTGTAACAGTAAATATTCACACGTTTTTGTGTTTTTCAGTTTGTCTGCTTATGTTTTGTTTCTTTTATTTTAAAAAGACAATTGCCTTACTACGCATTATGCTTCTGTGAATATGGATAGATTGTTTATCCATGTCTAATCCCGAACTATCTTTTCCGCCTTCCTCTTTGCAAGCAAAACGACCGGGGAATTTTCAAAACAAGATGGAGAAAATATAAAATTCCTTTTTGATGGAGAACAGGTCTTCTCAGATTGTGATTCGGAGGCACCTTACGCATATCAGGCATTGAGTGAAAGCCGATACACCGCGCATGCACTGTTGGACAATCGGATTAGGCGGGTGAAGGATTCGAGGTTTTCCGACTGTTCCAGTGTTTACCTGACCCCAACCCAATGCTAACCTTGGAGAAGGGTACAACTATTTTGATTTTGTGCCAATTTTAATTGTAGAAGACAACACCTGAGCACTGCATAGATGCCTAGCGTTTGTTGAGTACAGGCGGTAGTGTTTAGCAATCTGAATGACGGGGTCTTCGCATGACGGTTTCATTTCTATTCTTTCCATCCTATTGCTTTGCAGACGCAAGTTCGAAACCACATTATCTATATATCTCTTAGCACTGTTCTGATATGCACCTTCCTGGATTTCGGTAACTAAAGTTACCAAAACCAAGTAGCGTTTTTCACTTGAAAATAAGCTACAGATTGGGGTAAACATCCCCGAAAACTCGACAAACTTGATCTTCCCACGGAGAAAATGGTTTGAGTCAATCACGTGGCGTGTCGATCGCAAACTGGGAATTTTTCCCGGTCGATAGTCAGTCATTTCCACTTCATTTGAACCATGTATGATGATTATCTGTTAATTCTACCTGGTTTGGTACAAACAGAACTTCATGGCTTTGGGCCGTTGTCTTTCGATAATCAACTAATACACGAAGGGTAAGTAGCAGGGACAATACGTGACTTGGTGTGAAAGGTTTGCTTTGAAGATCCATGTGGACCCTTGTCACTCATTATTTCCCTCAAATTCTTCTGTTCCCAATCCAGAGCATGTATTTGTGTGTGTACTTGTGATCACGGTATCCAGTCTTTGGTGTGCTAATCTCAGATTGTGAGCTGATACGATGTCTAATCTGCCCCGTTTAAACAATCCACTTTATCCGCTCTTCGTTAACCTGGTGTATTTGGTTAATGAAAGTAACTGTTGACTGAAATACCGACCAAAAGTGTTGATAAAAGTTCTGTAAATGGTTAATATTACCAAGAAAAGCCAAGTGTAAGTTGGATTTTCGACAAACGGCCACTTCCCGTACGGGGTGCGGTAGTAATTACAAAGTGTTACTAAAGTTTTAATTTAGTAACGTAGGTTCGCAGAATCACAATCGCTGTTTGCAGAGCCCAAAGTTGCTGCCTGTGTTAATTTAAGTGCCATGGCTTCTCACTATTTATCTCTGAACGGTTAGATCCCATTCTTTGTTTGTAAATGAACTGTTTTAGGCAGAAACACTTTCATACTACTAGATAGTAGATAGTCGCTAAATGTCAACAGATCAACAGTTCAAGGAATAGATTTCCAGTTCAACGGATCTCAGGTTTGGACAATTTTAGCCCTCGGAGGAGGACTATGTCAAAAACAAGCTTTAAATGAGCATTCAAACCTCAGGAAGCGCCTTTATCCCATACTCTAAGTGATTCATCCATAAAGATTGACTCTTAAAAATTGCTTTATGGGAAAAATCAGTTGCCATTCCAACTCATTGCTGGGTCGATCATTCCGCTAAACACAACTACTGGTTTCACTCTCGAAGACACACAATGCAGGGAAACATATGTTTTCAGTGAATTCCCTCCCATGAGTTCACGCTCACATGTATATGAAACAATTTCAGTAGGGTCAAATAGATGGGCGGATCAGTCATATTATGATGGAAGGTGGTACAAGGAGAGCCCCGGCTAGCGAACGAATCAAGAATAGGGCCCATCTAACCAGATGCACAGATGTAGCGGCTGGAAGTACTTCGCGAGACAATGTGGACTACCCCTCGAAAGGAACGAATCGAAAACTACAGCCCGACGGACAATCCACATCTAGCAAGAAAGAGATCCACTGAATACCACAACGTCGGAGCTGTCGATCAACGTATCTCGCGCTACGATCAAACCAGTCAGAACAGCACGTGGAAGAAGAGGCAACGTACGTGCCAAGAGCGGACCAAAACCAACAGGTATTGACCAACAGAATGAGGCATGAATCATCCCGCCGCGCGGTGAAGAATTGATTGTATATTGCATACACCGGTTGTTTTTGAATTGGATCAATAAACGTTTTGCCAGTCAACTCACCTTTTCGTTACAATATGTTTGCATGTGCTGATGAACCCGAACGAGCTCAAATAGATAGGCTGTTCGGATTACGTAACCAAACGTCGTTATTTTTTACTTCATAGTCATGTGAACAAGCGATTTTCTTTTCCCTT